CAATGTATTTCAATATATTGCACCATTTCTGTGATCTGTAGGCTTATGTGGCTTTTCTGCTGTCACACCAGCATGTTTTTTTTTTTACTCTACAGTGTCCAATATCTACACAGCACAGTAACATGTTGTGTGGAAAAGTGTATATTGTCACGTTTAGAGAAATAATTTCAACCCCAGAATCAGAATGTTAAAATGTGCACAAAACTGCAGAATCTTAAATCTGCCACAGCTGATACAGCACAGGTATTTAAATGTCCTTGTGAGCATTTCTAAAGGCCATTCATTCCTGCAAAAAAAGTATGCAGTATACAGCTGAATGCTAGAGAATGCCAGTGAGTTAAATTTTTTGCTGTTCCTGCCTTTTCAATGCCAGTATCGACAATTAATAAGGCCTTCTGAGAGCCTTAAATACAAAGAGGGCATTGCATCACCTTAGACAGTAGAGAACTCTGTGGACGATATTTCTGTATTCATTTCCATTCATAGGAATGGATCACATGACTGGATTCTCTGGAGAAATATTCCGCTGTAGGGTGCTGAAAGTGAGAAGCCTTCTGAGGCATGTTAGGATTTAGGCAATGGTGCTGGAAGGATAGCTTCAGAAAAATGCTTTCTCCAAAAAACATCCACAAAATACTCATCAACACACGGATTGCCTTAGGTGTCTAGACAAAACCCACTCCTCCACTTCTCCTTTTCCTTGCCAAATCTGGTAAAGGGATCATCTAGGGGAAAGTAGATGCACTTGCCTCTCAGCCTCTGCTGTACCTCCTCTTTAGCACAGTAAGCCTCTGTGCAGCCTGGCTCTGTTGGTGAGCTTCTTTTTCTTTTTGTTCCAGTGGCTAAGACCTGTAGTGGATTTGCAGGTTTCCATGTTCTCCACGCATTTTATCTAGCCATTTCTTGAAGGCTTTGGGAGTTTGGGACATGACTACTTGGCTGGGAAGCCTGTTCTAGACCTCCACCTCTCTTGGTGTAAAGACGAATTTCTGTCTCTCACATCCTAAATTACCCTTTTAGCTTCTGATTGTGACCCCATATTCCTGTTTCACTAGTGAAATATCATGGAGGTTAACCATTTCTGTAGGTCTTAGGACTTTTGTTAATTTTCTTTCAGTCATTTTTTAGTTTTTTAAGACCAGTGGTTCTTAATCATTACTGCAGCCTGCACCCTTTAAATATTCAAAATATGTTCTTGTACACAAAATCTTTGAAGAAGGTCAGTTCTTTAAATCTAAGATATATCATAATTGTAGAATGAAACGGATAGAACTTCACAGTAAAAGTAAGAAATGTCCACTTTTTTAAGTTTACTGTAAAATATATAGGTTTGATGAAACAAGCTATACTTGTGTTTCTGCTGATTTACATTCTAAAACAATCTGGCTTGTCTCACACCCCCAGAAAGGGCATCTCGCACCCCCAGGTTTGTGTACCCCAAGTTAAGACCCACTCGTCTAGACTGAAGAGATTTAGCTCTGTTCATATAAGACCATCCCCAGACTGGGAGTTTTTTTCACTGCTCTTCTTTCAACTATTTCTAAGAACATCATGGCCTTTCTTCTGTTTGTGGTGGCCCAAATTAAATGCCCTGAAAGCCAATCCAAATCTAAAATAACCTGGTATTACAAAAATAAACAAAGCACTACAGTTGAGGAGTGCTGATGATACGATGGCGCTGTGACGACTGTTTCAGTGTGTTGAGTCAGCGTGGCTGCGGTAGTCTAGAAAAACAAAGCGTTTTTTCACATTTTTAAGGGAATAACTGCTTTCTATGAGGTCTCTGTACAGATAATTTCATGTGAGAACATGATGATTCAAAATGCTGCTCTGATAAGCAAGTGGTTTTGTCAAGCATATATTTTTGACAATATTCCAATGTGCAGTGTGTATTTATCTAGGCTTATGTATTTGGGAGACAGTAGTGTTTAAAAGCAGGTCGGAAGGCATATGTCAGGAACAATTAGTGTAGGTGGTTGTTAAGCTATTTTAGTGGTAGCTAGCAGGCCTCTCTTGATAAGTGAGCTTGCTCGGGGCTCACAGCTTACAAAATACTCTGTGGCAGGAAATCTGAGGCCTCGAAAAACAGGAAGGGCTGTTTGTTTGCGACCATTTAGGAGAGCTGCTAAGCTTGTGCAATTGAAAGTCAATGGCTGTCACCTCAGCACAATCAAACTGTCAATTGCAACCCCTGTAATGTACATCTGAACCGTTGAAGTCGATGTAACATTTAATGTTTCTCCAGTATACTCCTCTGTCAAAATCAGGATATACTTTGGATTCGGTTCTATTGCACTCAGAAATAGAAGTGGTGAATTCAACCAAAGGAAAAGCAACTCCCATGACACACACAAAAATTAAATAGAAAAAGAGTGGATGAAATCATTAAAATGATCAGTTTGTGGTTGTGTCCGACATGCTTTGCGTATGTCCGCTTAGGAATTATTAGAGCTTCGCTACACATAGACGGTAGCAGATAAAATATCAACTCAGAGAGCTCACCTTGAGAAGTCAGGTTTTTTAACAGAACAGATGAAATGTCTTGGGGATGTGTCTACTTACTGCCTTCCTGTATTTTTTTTACTGGCGTTTTGCTCCAATATAGCCTTTAAACATCAGAATGTCAAAGCCCAGCTGTAGGAGATTAATTGGTTATGAGGCTACTCCCGTGAGTTTCAGACCCGTACTGACAGCAGAGCTGTCTCCAGGACGACCTGCCCTCACTGCGGCTGTCAGCCTGGTGCTGAAGACAAGGAACAGAGTACCATCTTGAGCCTGGAGAAGAGGAAGCAGGGAACGCGCCCCAGCACCAGCACGAGTGGGAATCCCCTCATGACGGATTCCTGTTTGGTGGAACATTACTTTCTGTCACGCGGCGTGGAACAGGACCAAATGTGGGCCTTCTGGGAAACGAGAGTGTCGTAACTGCAAACCAGCTTCACTCAGTTTGGAATGGTTTACTGCAATAAAAGTGCCTTTTTGCAGTTTTCCCAGGCCTTTGTCATGATTCAGCTGCATTTATTTCACTTTGCCTTTGTTTCTTAAGATTTGCACTGTACTTCCTCACATGTTTCCTTATTATGCTGTACTGCGTTTTAATATTTCTGGATGAAGTGGTGCAATATTAAAGCAGAACAAGCACACATGTAAAGTGCTATTTCACGAACACATCAAACACATTTCAGAATCGACCCAGCCATTTAATTCTTTCCTATGTCATGGATTGGTTTCGGGAACTGTCTTTAGATCCTGCGTCACTTTTGCAACATGGGTCACAGCATTGAAGGACCTTTTAATATGAAGATGCCTTTGTATGGCAGTGAAGTGTGCACTGTTGTTTTTGAACGTTTTGAAAGCCTACTCCGTCCTCAAGAATGTCCAATTTTCCTGCACATTGGTGGTGGTGGAGAGGAGTCCCCTTTATCTGTAGAGTGCTTTGAGTGGAGTGTCCAGAAGAGCGCTATATATGCAATTGCCCACAATCCATTGGGTCAAATGCCCTATGTGACCTTTAAAAACTGTGGCTGTTGTGAGTCTCGGAAACAGCTGCAAGCGTGCTCTAACACCAGGTAGCTTGGCCTTGTGAGTCTGGCTCAGAGGCTTGAATTAAAGGCTGATGTTAGTACCGAGTGTGGGGTTGACAAACTGGCCAGCTCCTCTTCCTGTTGGGGTGCTCATTTTAATACGGAAGGGCTCTGTACTTTCAGTTTTCTTGGTTTTACTGAAGTGTGACTTAAGGTTTTAGAAAATTGATTCACCTGCCAAAAATAATTACATACATTCTACCATGATTACCCTGTACCCCTAGAAGGCTTCACACCAAGCCTCACAGCTACATAACTGATTCCTGTTACGCCAATTTTGCAGATGACTTATTTATATTCTTCCATGTCATTAGCACTAATGCATCCCCATGCTGTTTGGTGGAAGCTCTTGCTTTTATCTGATTAGATGGCCTTTCATAATCCAGATTTGGGGAGCAGCGGCTTTTTCCTGCTTGGACTAAATTGAGCTTAAAATGACTGCAGGGCTGCGTCGCTGTTAACAACATGAAGTATCGATATTGATTAAAAAATCTCTTCATCCTGACGACAGTACTCGGCGTAATAATGATTAAACTATATTATTTTTTCTTGCTAAAAAATACAGAAATAATTTGTCATGTACAGTAGCTTCCTACAAGATGTGTTTGAGAAAGATACTTCTAAGAAGTGATATGTTAGTGAAAAATTACTTATGTAAGGGATTTCATTTTAGAATTGACAAGACGTTGAGGGTACATAATTTTAAAAATCACCACTTACAGTGATATATGTAGTGTATGTATAGATGCTATGTGAAGTTGTACGTTATCACTTAAGAACAACTTCTTCTTAGTTAAAAATAATCTCTAACACAAGTAAGTGTAATAGATCATATTTTGAAAAAATATCTTTCCCCAAAAGTGTTTGAGTCAGATTGTGTTTATTGAAGATGTGAAGGAGTCTATCCTCAGGCCTACCCACAATGCCTTGCACAAGGCACGAGTATATCCCTAACAGTAATGAAAGTGGTTTATTTTTTACTCCATTGGGTATTTATTGAAGCACAGCTAGGTCTGTTCACACTGTTTGCCTCATTTCCATAGCCAGGCACCTCTCATTGGCATGCAATTTCCTATAATAAGCTGATGCTAAACACAAATGGCTGGAAAAATCTAATTTTATCTGAAAAGTTTAAGCCAAAGGTTATCAAATGATTGTCACCACAAAGATTTAATTAAGAACTAAAAAGGTCACTCAGCCCATTTGTCTTGTTTGGAAGTTGGTAGCTAACTGATATGAGGATCTCATACAGCAGTTTCTTCAAAGACATCAGGGTGTCAGCGTCAATAGCATGGCTGGGTAGCTTGTTCCATACTCCCACAACTCTTTGTGTAAAACTGGTAGGGTTGTGGAGAATGCCTTCAGGACTGTGCTGATCTAACTCTGGCCTTTCCCTTTTTTTGTGTGTTTTTGCAGAGTGGTCAATGCTGGGAAGAGCCTTTTGAATGAGGACCAGGCCTGTTCTGAAGTGCTGTTTCTGAGGAGGAGCAATGTCAAGCAGCCAAGCTCCTCTTCAGTGGAGGAGGAGGCTCAGCAGGTGGTGAGAGGGGCTGGGGGATATGGGCTTCATCTCAGAACCTCAGAATCCTGGCCCACTCTGCGGATGAAGGACCTCTATAGTTTTCCCAAACTAGACATTAATAGTACCATAATAATACAGTGGACATTTCTGAACCTCAAATTTTGAAATTGAAAAGCAAATTGTATGCTTGATAAGTTTCCATTCATTTATCTTACATTTCCTTTTCATCTTCCATTAACTAATGCATCACACCTGACACACAGATTCTCGTTGGTCGTCTGTTGTTGTGGTTCATTCAGTTACTGGAACAGTTGATGGGTATAACTTATTGTATTAAATGGAATCTGTGCAAATGAATGTGATACACATCATTAATATAAAACAAACATTACATTCTGTCATGGAAAACTGAAAAAAATAAGCCAGTATCCATTGTTAGTAAGCCTTTCATTCCTAATGGAAGTGCATTTTTGGCATGAATTTCCCATGTTTACACCATACTGTAACTGTGCTTTTGTAGTTCTATGGTTTCTAACAGGCCTTATTCAGGCCTGTTCTTTACCACACTCTGACCAAGATCCCACTGTGCTTTACTTTATTCTGTGCTCTCTTTATCATGTGTCATCTGAAGGATAGCAGGGCTCCCAAGGAAAATAATCATTTTTCTGCATTTCTAGATTTTTTACTGCATTTTTACTGCGGCAGATACAATATGTTGCCAAGTCCCATTTATTGGGCTTCGTTTTCACTCGAGAACGTGTTCTCCGCATGACGTGTAGTAATGGCTGTAGTCTGCTGGTTGTCCTTCAAGCTTGTGCTCGTGGTGAAGGCTGTGTTCACTCACAGCACTGCTCTGATTCTGTATTTTGGCTTCCACATTAAGCTGTGTTGGCACAGAGCAAGGGAAAACGATGCAGCTTTGATGCTCTAATCGGAACTGTGGCAGAAGGCAAACATCTCCATCTCCCTCTCATCATGCACACCCCCACCATACCCCCCTCCAAGATCAATTTACATGCATCATCCTTTACTGCCTAATTCCTCTGAGTCTGGAAAAATAGGTTTTAAGGTTTTTTTTAACCTTAAAGGTACATGTTCCATAATTCTAAAATATTCACGTCTTTGTTTGCTGGTGCTTTTAAAATATACATGACACTGGAGACACCTTGCCAAAGACAATCACACCCACATCTTCCCTATATGCTCTCCTTGTTTTGTAATCAAAGATGAGATGATTGCACTTTCTCATTCAACCCCTGTTTTTTAATGAAGTGCCTTCTGAAAAGCAGGCAGTCTCTGCCTCAAAGCGCCCTCTTGTGGTAAATAACGTAGTTGCACAGGATGTGAAATCTCGACAATACCAGAGTTGGAATTCAGCTTGTTCGTACTTTAATAGACATCAAACTGAGGAGATTCACAGTATTTACAGTTTTAATGTTTTAAGATTTTAATTTTTAAAATGACTAAATTGAAAATGTAATATTTAAAGTTTGTAATGTTTTAATTCAACTGATGTAATAAAATCACCCTAGTAGTGTGCTTTACAACAACCACAAAAAAGAGAGGAGACATTCAAAATGTCTTGATAATTTGGTGGCTTGTAGTTGGGAGAATCTCATTCTGTCATTTTTGACCCCTAGAAGAGGTTCATCATTAAACATTCCCTGGCCAGAAAATCGCTAGATTTTGTTTCTGTTGGCAGCCCATGTCAGCCGAGCACATTTCTGACCATTGCGGTTGCTGACCTGCTTGTGTTTTAAGCAGGGCATTCCACTGCATTTCTGGGCGCTGTATGATGGGCACGCCGGCTCCGGAGCTGCCATCATGGCTTCCAAGTTCCTTCACCACGTGATCAAGGACCAGCTGACGGACATCCTTCACCTCTTGGAGAACCCCGACACAGCGCCCCCTATCTGCCTGGGAAAGAACGGCAGCCCCCTACAACCAGAGCTGAAGACCGTAGCGTCGCAAGGGGAGGACCCCGAGACCCCCAGTGACCCCACCACCCGCTTCCACCTGGAGAAGGCGGTTAGCCTGGAGAGTCTGATCATGGGGACGATCGAAACCGCCTTCAAACAGATGGTAACGACATCACCACAGAAAAAGGCAGAAGGCATTTTGCAACAAATTTAAGCCATGGGGTTCATTGTTAAAATGTGTAGTCGAATGTACTGTAGCAAAGTGGGGGTAGAGTCTCATGGCACAATCTTAGCAAAGATTTAATTGTGGCAAAGAATAATTCAGACTGTAAACCTCATTGCAAAAGCAGTGCGAAAGCCCATTACAAGTATAAGAGCAGTAGAAAGCTGTGCAGATTTGCTGTAAGAGAAGAGAAGGAGGCTTCCAAAGGAAGCTGACATGAACTGGCAAAATATGGTTTTGAGAGATGACACACTTCAATACTGGTGGCGTAGGGGCTGTGTGCTCCATTCTTCCTGGAAATCCAGACAAGAAATAAGTGCAGCACATTAACATGGTCAGACGATAAATACGGTACAGATTTAATGTGCCTGTTAGTCAAATCCGCAAAGGAATTGAAAAGTGAATTTGGAAGAGATCTCATGAATTTGTTTCCCACCCAGAGGGACTTTAAAGTTTGGAAAAGCAGGCTCGCCCCAGTGTCTGGAGTGCAGTGGTTTGATTATTCAACACCTCAGTGTTGACTTGCCATCTGAAATTTAGCAGGGCTGGTTGTGGATTGAGGCGACACCCAGCACTGTGTTTTGTTTTAACCATAATTTCCCTGTGTTTTACTATGATTGAGTTTTCACGCTGAGGAGTCACTAACCTTTTACCAAGGATCTACTGTATATCACAGAATATCCTTCCGCACCATTTAGACGATCAAACTGAACCTCAAGTGAGAATATCATCAACAGTGCTGAGTGTGTAAAAATGGAGTGACTCAGGCATTTGGTGCACAATTCATTTGAATGTGGACAGATGAGAACAAAATTTCTCTCCAGCTGTGCTGGGACCTGGGATATAAAGTTCTGGCCATCCAATCACTTCTCTTCCCTGTGCAGGATGAGCAAATCGAAAAGGAAAAAGCGTCGTTCAGCATCTCAGGGGGCTGCTGTGCACTTGTCGTGATCCACTTAATGGGGAAGCTCTACGTCGCCAATGCAGGAGACAGCAGGTATGGAAGACTGCACACGCAAAAACAGTCCCCTTCGAAATTCTGTCACCCAGTGATTGCAGTTTGTCTTAGCTGTCAACTTCTCTCTTTAGAAATGTGATAAATCATTTTTGGGAATGTAGAATTCAAGGAGCGAAGACAAGGTACTCCCCTTGGACCCTGCTTTGCCTGTCAGTGGCCTTTGTGAAGTAAAGCAGTCATAGTACAGGACTTCACTGATCCATTACTGACCAGTACAGCATTACTGGACATCACGGCATACTGGTCATTACTCTCCATTACTCCATTACTTGATATTACTCTCCATTACTGGACATTACTTTCCATTAGTAGTCATTTATGAACATTACTCCATTACTGGACATACAGTAACTGTAAATCACGCCATGACTGGACATTAATCCAGTAGAGGTGTTAGCCCAGTGGCCAAATTTCCCCCTGGCCTTTGCCAGTCATGGCCTCCCAATAATCCCCATCTTAGCTGATATTGTATTTGGTGATCTTACTGGCAGACATTGGCTGCCATTGCATTATCCGGGTAAGTGCTTCACATTGAAGGTGAATCCCCATTACCTGTGAAGCACTTTGAGTGGAGTGTCCAGAAAAGCTTATTATTATTATTATTATTATTATTATTATTATTATTGGTCACACACTGGACATAGCTCCACTACAGGCCCCATAATGATGACTGCAGTCTTATTTTCTGTGCATTCTCTGATGAGAATATCTAGAGTGCTACTATATACAGAAATGTAGAGTCAAGCTGTGTCCATTTCTCAATTTGAAAGGTATTTGAAAAAAATAGGTGCACTCATCCATGGTTTGTGTTACGGATTGGCTCTGCGATCCATCTCGGGTGTTGCATTAAACCCTATGCGAAGTGGTAAGAGCCGGAGGAACCAGGAGATGTAGTTCGGGGAAAACAAATATAACATCAAAATAACAGTGACAGTTCGTGAACTGGTGAACAGGGGAACAAAGAGAGGCATCCAAATCCAAACTGGTCCAAAAGAGGGTCAGGGCACAGTCCATGACTTGGATGCCGTGAGATCCACCTTGAGACGACACAAGGTTAAAATCCCCGGGAAGGGGAAAACAGGAACATACATATCCAAGGATAACGTGGCGAAGTCTTCCAGGCCCTGGGCTCAGAAGGTCAGGCGATGTCGGGGGATGAGGCCTATGCCCTCAGGCATCCAGCAGCCTGGTAGTAGGCGGGCCTCACGACATCCTTACCCTAATGCTGAGTCCTGAGCACTGGAGGTGCTGGAATAAAATAGGGGGAGGCAAAACAAGGCACATCTGGAGAACATACCAGCAATCACAGACAACAAATGACGGGAGAAGTGGAGCACCCTCTAGGGGAGGGAGGCTGACCGTGGCAGTTTGGGCATATTTACTGTATATAGTTTTAAACAGTTCTCTGGAAACACAGGACTCTGCTATCATCTCATTCCATATATTGTCTAATAACTGTCCAATGATTTAAAGTGTCAGCGTGGCTGAAAGAGCACCCATTCCAGTTTTGCCACTCCGCAATTAACATTGATTGGCGGTGTTGCCCGTTTTGTTAACTTCTCACACAAAACAAGCCTGCCTGTTCCTCATGCTGTCCCTCTGTCTGTCCCCCCAGAGCCATAATAATCCACAACGATGAGGTCATCCCCATGTCCAGCGAGTTCACCCCTGAGACCGAACGACAGCGGCTGCAGTATCTTGTAAGACTTGCTTAAGGGTCGGCCGGAAACACTCCCGAAGAAACTTTCAATGACTTCCATACTGTATATGAGCTCAGCAGTGGACTGAAGGCTCTACATTCCACGCTGGTTTGATCATATAAGATGCAAACGGACATGCCTCCAGAGGACTTTCAGTTTAAGGACTTGGAGTGAATGCCTCATTGTGGTACAGATTTCACTTTCAAGCTGGAGATTGAAGTTTGTTGGCAGGAGGGTTCGTTTCAGAAAAAAAAATGGCCGCAGATGAAAATCAGGGAGACAGAGACAGTGTCAAAAACTCTGAAAAATGTTTATATTTATGCGTCTTGCAAAAATAGAGTTAGAAATATGAAAAAGCCCATGAGAGCAGAAAGTCTCACTTCTATTTCAACGGAGCGTTGTACATTAGCAGTGACCTGCAGTTTCCTGGCCAGGTGAATTCCACCTCTCTCTGACTCTTCAGTCAGCTTCATTCACAGCAGGCCTGTGCCCAGGGGATGCCTGCAGGAAAGAGCTTCTCTCCCTGGCTGCAGTGCTGTAGGACAGCCTGCAGCTGGGCTCCCTGCAGTGGTGGGCAGTGACACGTGTCTTGCAACAGACGTAAGAGAACATCCTAAAAATAAATTCTAGGGATTTGATGGGTGAAAGTTCATAAAGCTGCGACAGCTGCTCTTAAAGGTGCATATTATATGCTGGCTTACTTACGATTTTTGATTTTTCTGTATTGCTCTGCTGGTAGTTCTATGTGACAGTACCAGCTGTTGAATCGGTAAGGTGCTTCATTAATAACATGAAATAGTAACTAATCTGGCCTTAGCAAGTGGTAGTCAATCAGTATATATAGTATTGTAATATAAAATAGTAAATAAAATGCTTTTTAGCCACTGAAGGAAAACACCTGTAGACCCACAATACACAAGGGCTGGAAACCAGTCAGTAGGGACTTTCACAAAATTTACAGTATCTGGATTTATAATTAATTATAATTGGACCAATAATCATAGCAATAATATAATAATTGCAAAATGTCTAGCAGCTGATACCAGGTTTCCAAGATGCTAGGCTGGCACTGCTGTGAAAACATGCCACAAGATTTCCCCAAATTTTTCAAATCATTTTTTTTAAAAAGCAGACAAGCTAGGACCATCCTGCGCCAGTGTCCTTCCAGATTTGACATTGACACGGCTCACTGGAGACCCGGGCAATGCTCACAGCAGACAAGATGAGGGGAACAAACAGCTCCGAGGCTTGATTATGACACTTGAGCACTGCTTAAAACAGAGAAGAACACAAGTCTTCAAAGCAGCCCATCACAGGTGTAGGAATCAAAGTATAATCAATAAACATCTCATACTTTAAGACGTAGTGGAGTAGAAAGAAATGCTAACCATTTTTCTGGGAAAAAATGTAAAGGGATACAAATTTTCTGTGGCGGGCTTTTCATTTCCGTTTCTAATTTTTTTTTCCTGGAACATTTTTAAATAAAAAGGAAATGAAAATCAGCATTAAATAAGCTGATTTCAGACTGCCGCCTCAACGTTTATAAGACAGTTAGGTGTTACCATGGCTCCTGTTAAGTGTACTGAGTCATTTCTGTTGTCCTCGTGGTCATACAGTGTTTGTGGGAACATCCTGCCCTGTTTCATTCTTTCTGCAGCTTGTGTGCCTTGCAGGCACTGTATGGCAATGTAATTTGTAGAAATCCATTGCTCTTTCCACAGTCTCCTTTTCAACTCTCCAACCTGTGTTTTTTTTTAACCAGCAATAAGCATTTTCTTTCTCTCTTCCTTTAGGGTTTCCTGAAACCAGAGCTCCTGGGGAATGAATTCACCCATGTTGAATTCCCTCGCAGAATGCAGCACAAGGAACTAGGAAAGAAGATGCTTTTCAGGGACCACACTATGACTGGCTGGTAATCCTCCCCATTCCCACGCAGAAATCCCCAGATGGGTCTGGGAAGTGTGATGCAAACTTCCCCATACAGCAGAGTACAGACAGTACCACTGTCTAAACAAGCTAAAAAGACCAGGTTTATGATGGTGATTTAAACTGAATTACAGTGGCATGAGCAGAGCAAAGTGTTGTAAAGCGGAGTGAAATCACATTATATACTATGGGAAGTATTGAGCACGTCTACAAACTTTTAAAAGGGAAAGCATAAGATTTTCTGAAGAAACTGTGAAGCGGGTGTTTACCATCCTGACCTCTTGGAGGTTGGGATCCTGGAGATCAGAATTCCTGATCATTTCCCACTCTATACGAACCCAATTTGGAATTGCAGGTTGTGTAGTAGCTCACGTGCCCAGTGGGAGACAAGGACATGGATGCATCCTCCTCCAATCCTGCTAGCTGTCAGTGCCAGTCTCCTATTGACACACTGAGAGCCCACCAGTGCCAGACAGGAGAGAGAGGGCAGAGTTCCCCACTGAGGCAGAGATGCACGTGTGTTTATAAATGGAACAAGTCTTGGAATAAGCTAAATGGCATTCCACATACGCCTCCCCATTCTTATGAAAAACAGAATGGTGATAAAAGCTAAATCAGAACTCATAAGGGATAAACATTTCATTTAATAGGAACAATGAACACTTGCCTGCACAGGTTGTTGAATGGCTGAGATCAATACAGAATCGAGAGAAGGTTTACAAACGAGGGTGAAGCAGTGTAGCCATTATGCTTTTTTGATTAACGTCTAATTCATCCCAAGCTTCGAGTTGCTTCATAAAGGGTCCCAGAAGGTCAAGGGTTCTGTTAGAATCACTTTCAATTTAGGTCTTGCACAAAGCTGATCAACTGAAACACTGGTTCTGTTGGGAACTTCTGCTTTATTTAAATGTCTTCGCCTGTAGACGCCAAATGGCAGTCCTCTCCTCCAAAGCCCCTTTTTTTCTTATTCCTTCGTCGTTTCAGGGCTTACAAGACGATCCATGAGGAAGACCTGAAGTTCCCACTGATATATGGAGAAGGCAAAAAAGTAATTTGATTTTATAAAGTTTAATGGGTTAGTAACACCTTGATTTACACTCCCTTGCAAGCACCAAATAGATGCAACTTGACCTCCCTTTGGCCAGAGAGATTTGCAGTCCCTGCTCAGCAGTGAATGATGCTTTGGTTCTGCCTTCCTGATTAGATATCTGGAGCTGTGTCTCTTGAGTGTGGCTGCCGTGGCAACATGAGGCCACCACTTTGATTTGCTACGGCCACAGCGACATATTGTGGAATTCCTAGCATGGGTCTCCTAATCAGAGATTTTTCAGAGATTTTTCTAATCTCCTTTATAGTGTATGTAACTATTGTTAGTACAATGGATGCCAAAGATGCACTCACCTCCACCAGTAACAGTTTTAAGAACTTGTTTTGCATGGCTTAAACAGAAATGTTTGGCATGTCATGCCCACCCAGTGAATTGCATGATAGAGTGCCAGTCAACAGATATGACTGCCAATTTGCATGGCTGTTGGGTTACCTCTGATACAAACTGGGTTCAGTGGTGCCGATTTGGGAGGGGTTATAGCTCTGAAGATTTTAACTGAAATGTGTATAAGTAAAGGATATCAATGAGAGCTACAGAAATAAAATTAGCAGTCCAATGGAGTTCCTAATCTTTTCTTAGAAAAAGCAGCTTCCTGAGTGAATGTTTCTGCTAGTAGTTATGAAAAAAAGAAGAAAGAGAACACAACGTTTCGGCCGTGGAGCCTTCTTCAGGTGTGACAGGGCAGTAGGCAAAGGTAAAGTAGCGGGAGAACAAAGGTTGGGAGGGGGGAGGAGTGAGAGGCGGGAGCAGGAGACAGAAAGAGAGCCAATCAAGAGGTGTGAAGTCAGAATGGGTGCAAGAGGTGTGAAATGAAACTTCCAATGAATGGAGAAAATTTAAAAGAACAGTAGTCTGTCGTTAAGAGAAGGGAGAATGTGTGATCCTAGCTGCAGAATAATTTTGGTTTCGGTGGTCTTTCTGATGTATGAGTACGGAAAACTGTCTTTGAGAACACAGACGGAGAGATTAGAGTGGTCGTGGCTGTCAGAGGTGAAATGAGAAACAATGGGCTTGGAGAGATCTTTAATCTTCACAGCCCTGACGTGTTCTCTGAAGCGGTCTCCGAGTCTCCTTCCTGTTTCTCCAATGTAGATGGCTGGGCATTTACTGCAAGAGATACAGTAAATAAGGTTGCTGGAGGTACAAGATGCTGTCTGGGTTATTACGTTGCTCTGCTTTCCATAGTTAGGGGGTTCCTCCTCCGGCCTTTAACATATTTTAAGATGATTTGCTTAAGTAAACCTAAATATTATACACATTTTACCCCACTCTTAGGTTTTTCAGTGTTTGGTTTAATTCATACCAGTTTAAAACACGTGATTTGCATTGCGCAGAATCTCCTGATTTTCTCACTTAGATACTGCACAGAGTGTAAAATCCATCTGTTTCAAACTGGGTAGCAGAAGGATTTCAGCAGCTTTTGTGATAAACAGGCATTTCTATGATAGATGGAAAAAAAAAGAATACTGATTGCAGCTTACAAGCAAGTATGTCAGATAAGGAACCATTATTGAAATCACAGCGCACGGCTGAACGCGGCTCTCCATTCTTGTTTTTGCTAAGAATCTCATTAGTCATTATAATGAGTTGTTTCAGCAGTGAGACAGCCACTGACCTCACCGTTCAATGGAGAGAGACGGGAAATAAATTAACGATGCCCGGGGGTGGACACTCTACTTCTAAAGAGTCACTATCTCTCAGGTTTTTACAGGGTCCCTGTGTTTATACGTGTTACTAAAACCTGAGAACCCATGTAAGTTATTGGTAGACACTGCACGGTCATTTGCTGGACGAAGCCAGGAATGGCCAGCTGTTTTTTCCGGGCTGTAGGCTGGCTGCCCAGGTGTTAATTTAAGGAGATCTCAAAATTATTTCACTAATGCAGTTTCCACTGGCCTTTGTAACATAGTGCGTGGTGCTCTAGGTGTTTAGTTCTCATGTTTCTTGATCATAAGCGTTAAAATACTCCAGTGATGTTCGGTTAGATAAAAATGATATATTCCTATCAAAGAAGCATCTTGCTGCCTCAGTGTTAGATCCTGAGTGTGCGCAGTCACTCCCATTTTGTGTTTTGGGATTTTTGCAGCTTTTGTTGTTTTTCCACACAAACCTTTAAGCTGTAACCCCCAGTGCCGCCTCCCTGTGTCTGTCAGGCTCGGGTGATGGCCACAATCGGCGTGACGCGGGGGTTAGGAGACCACGATCTGAAGGTGTACAACTCCAACATCTATATCAAACCCTTCCTTTCCTGCTGTCCGGAGGTAAGGCACGAACTATTGCCGGTATTGTTTCCATCTGCGCAGGCTTCAGTCTTTCTCCAGGTTTGTCACTTCCCCCATCCCTCTTCAGGTGAAGGTGTTTGACATGACGCAGCATGAGTTCGGCCCTAATGATGTCATGGTCCTGGGCACCGATGGATTGTGGGATGTCACCACCAACAGGGAGGTGGCCGACGCTGTCACAGCCTTGCTGTCACACTACAAGCCCAACGATCCTTTGAGGTCAGTGCACAGCTTCATGCCTCCCATTCTAGAATATTCTTGCCACTGATGTCACACACCAGAGGCTTTTTCTGATGATATATATCTGTGCAGACTGTCTGTTGAGGACAGTGTGATGGCGCTGTGATTAACATGGCTGCTTTGGAGTGCTGGGCCCTGAATCTAGGGAGCTGTCTGTGTGGAGTTTGTATGTTCTTCCTGTGTACTTTGGTTTTCCTCTTATTGCTCCGGTTACCTCCCACAGGCCCCAAACATGCTGGTAGATTTAAATGCTTCTGGTAAAATTCGTCATAGGTGTGAGTGTGTTCGTGTCTGTGTTTGCGACTGTCTGCCCTGCAATGGACTGGTTTCCTGTCCAGCGTGTATCCTGCCTTGCATCTGTTGTTTACTGGGATAGACTCCAGGCACCCAGTGATCCTGATTTGGATGAAGCAGTTGGAAAATGGATGGATGGACTGCCTATTAAAAATCTGTTTATCCAGTAGGTATCACTGCTGGTCCTGGAGAACCATAGCCCTGCTACTTTTTGAATTAGCGTAAGAAGCTCAATGACTAGAAGAACTGGAAACAAAGCTAATTTAGACCTAATAGTGGTACATAATACAACTGAATAATTGTGTGCACAAGTGGCAAGGATCTGTTCACATATAGGACCTGTCCATATAAAAGTACTGTGGTATGAACCATGTTTATATGAGAGGATTTTCCTTTTATAGGTTTCCTTATTTAACGTTTTATATAGAAAATAAAGATTATGATTGAAATCCTGGTTTCTGGAAAAACTGCCTTAAAGCCTTAAAACCCCTTTTCACAGCTGTGCTCTGGTGCCGAACTGAAAAGCAGTGAAGCAGTAAATGTGTATTAGAATAGAATGTATAGAGGAATATGATGAAGTCTGATACAAACTGGAAAACCAAGTTAAAAGAGCACATAATTTGAGGCATTGCAAGGCAAAAGATAACTATAAAATTGGAGGAATTTTTAAGACAAACATATAATATGATATACTATATATTATATGTAGTTCAGGTGGGTAGCTGGGTCAGCATCCGTAGGCTGCAAAGGAAGAAGTAATAGGTTTATTCCATGCTGAAAAAAGAAGAAAGAAAACACAACGTTTCGGCCGTGGAGCCAACAACTGAAGAAGGCCCCACGGCCAAAACGTTGTGTTTTCTTTCTTCTTTTCTCAGCATGGAATAAACCTTTACTTGTTCCTATATATTATATATACTATACTATATACAATGTTAGTATCACTTCAGTAGTAATGGAATACAGATATATCATGCATAACACAGATGCTTTAATTGAACAGATTTGTAAAAAAAACGTCAGACTGAAGCACTACCTCAGTTAGAATGAGATTCAAGGATCAATAACCTGCTAACAAGCAAGCAAGCAGGGCTGGTACAACAGTCTGCTCTTGTTTGTAAACCTTCATTAATTTCAACTTTGCAGAAGCTCTCAGAAATATAGGAAGTCCAACTCTAAAGAGAAATGGAACGCATGAATGTGTTTTTCTCCGAGGACAAGACATCCGTTGTCTTGGTGTAAATTGAAGTAAATTGAATAGTCCAGATTAATAAAAACCTACAATTTTATCTTTGAAAAGCCTTGCCGCTGCTATGGAGTCATGCTAGAACAATTATTGCCTCGAACAGGAGAAAGCTGATCATTAATGCTAGAATATAAAGAACTGTTAACAGTTAGTCTGCATTGGTACTACACAAACACTCCATTTTGTAACTGCCAGCTTCTTAGTTCTTCAAATAATAATTAGCAGGATCAGTGTACCAATTAAGGTGCTTTTTGTGCTTATGTACCACTAATGCATTGGCAGGGCCACGTTATGGGTTGCCACAGTCTGGCTGTTATACCAGAGTGCTCTTCTCATGTGCAGGGAAGAAGCAGGTCCCAGTGTGGCAAAATGAAATGTGGAAGTGTCATGACAGCATAACTACATTACTCAGTCTTTATAATGTAACTGTGAGAGGAATGGGTGGATTAATATCATTGCATCCTTTTATCTCATAATTAATACCTCCAATTTGTTTTTGAGCTGTTAACCGACAGCATCCTCGTATGATCGCATAATATGTTTCACAGCCCTACGCCAGACTTCTGATTCATCCAGCTGATACATGCGAGGGCTCTGCGGGATTTCGAAATGCTTTTGATCGGTTTCTGACGCGAGAAATGTTCACATTTGCTTTCATTTCCCTTGATGTCCAGTAGAGGGCAGCCAGCATATACAAGAATAATGTACGTTATGTACAAGTTCTTTTACTATACAGTATGTGATTTTGTTGTGAATATTACTTTTTTTTCACCTCACTGGCAGCATGCTCCTCTTTCATGCTAGATTTACTGTATGAAATTGTCTGAAAGTGAATTTATTAAATAAAAATCTAATATATATAAATATGTCGGTCACTCTGGAAACACAATTTATCAGGAGCAAGCTACTGTATACTGCTTAAGAAGAAATATTAGGCGTACTTCAGTTGACTAATTTTGAAAGGCCATGAGTGCTTAAGTTGGAAGAAAGAGAAAAATCTATTTGCGGAAATACGTTGTACATTGTCAACACTTTCAAGTGTTGGTTGATCTGCTTTCTGGGGGACAGATAACAGATCCTCTGTGTGCTCCATTTACCACAAGGAGAAGGAAGTGACCGAGCAAGAGAACTGACACGGATGTCAGGAGGGACAAACCGTGGAATGGCAGGAGAGCGGAAAAAGACAGAACGGCAGAACGGGGGATTAGCCCAGGCTCAGCAGTTCAGGAGTTGTATAGAAACCAATGCCCTCAGGCAGCGGGCGTGGGGCGACCTGGTGCTAGGCGTGTCTCAGGATATCCGAACGTCAATGCTGAGAGAGGAGCAGAGCAGAAGCAGGAAGTAAATAGGCTACAGAACAAGATACACCAGAAAGACATGAATAATCACAGGGAACAGGAACAGGAGAGAAGTAGAGCACCCTCTAGGTGTACTGCGCGTGACAAGAGCCAAGCTGTAGCAGACCTGAAGGTCCCGCAGGTGCATCTGTCACCAATGAATGAAATGGTCAAGACACTGCAGGTGCAGTAAAGTTCACCAACATTGAAAGGAAAGTACAGTTCTCGCATTCAACTGCAAGAAAGTGCAGTTGAAATTGAATGAATCAGAGGAACATATTTGGTTGCTGGATTTTAAACTTTGAGACTTCACAAACTTCCAAAATGTCAAAACCCACAGTTCCCTGGTCACACAGTCATTTTGTCAGTTGCTTCCTTCTCCCTCTGGTGAATGGAGCTGCCTTCTGCCTTTGCTTCCTGCCTTTGTCTTCTAGCATCTGGTCAGGGTGACAGCTCATTCCCCACAGCTTCCTGGGGAGAGCGGTCCAGACAACAGCCACCATCTTGTCTGAACCTGCTGCCCTCTCACAATTCCCAACATCCCTGCTCATCAGATAGATGCTCATTGCTTGTCCTTTTCCCACCCTCCAGGTACACTCTGGCTGCGCAGGACCTGGTGATGAGGTCACGGGGCGTGCTGAAAGAGAGAGGCTGGAGGCTGGCCAATGACAAGCTAGGCTCAGGCGATGACATCTCCGTATTCGTCATCCCTCTGAACGGACATGCCGCCGAGACATGACGCTCCACCACCCCACTGACGAACGCTTTAAATAACCAATCAGTAAAGAAATGATTAAAGAGCCTAATGGTCACTGATGACGGGATGACCACAGCCATTTTCTATAGTTGTCTCAGGTGTGCGCGCCTATACTGGCCAGTCCTTTCTTGCCTTCTTATAAGAACCAAATTCAAGTCCCTCATTGGGTTAGACCACAGGTGCACAACTTCAGTCCTGGGTTTCTGGGTCTCTGTAAATCATCAATAGATGAAGAGCTTTCAAAAGTGTTAAACTGGCTGAGTTAATATGATAGTGGGCACAATTAGGTCAATAAGAGCAGAGATGGAAAATAAACCCACAGACACTGTGGCCCTACAGGACTGGAGATGCACACCACTGTGTTAGACAATCATTACAGTTGTAGTCGATATTACCAGGCAAATGTCTTGTTACTGTATTCTCTTAACTTGCTGCATAGTGTTCTGTACCATAATCTGTTGTTTTTAATTATTGTATTGTAAATTATATCTTATCTGATATTGCACATTGCTGGATATCTGCACAATTCCAAGATGAAATTGCTTCTGAAGTTGAAAGTGGTAAGGGGAACGATAAATTTCTATGGATGGGATGATTGCACTGTGCACAAAGTCCCGTGCAACACTGTTTCATTTTCAGCCTATAGAGGTTGGTTCAGAAATGCAGATTTGCACGTCTTACAGGACATGAAGGACATAAGAGAGAACTGCAAAGAGCAATTTTGAACTGGAAATGAAATGGGTGGACAATGCAAAATACATTATCAAGAGGTGGACTTCATGTTCTTAAATGGAGGTTTCCTTCTGCAGCAACTGTAAAGCAATAATGTTTATACCAGTAGAAATATCTTAACCAAGAAGCAAAGGTTTCCCAAGAGTCTGGGCTTCTGTTGTTCTGTTCTTAAGCATACAACACTGTTACTTCAAAATGATTGTGTTCAAAAACGTTTGGGACACTGCTGTTCCCTGTGTGTGTGGCTCTGCCAAGCACATTGCCCTTTTTTGCAGTTGAATGCCAGAACTGTACTTTCCTCTCAATGTTGGCGAAATTTACTCGTCTAAGAGTAGGGTCACACTTTAACAGCCAGTAACATTTACGATCAGTACTGGTCAAGGTAGTGATGGCAGCTTTGTCACCATTTTCATGATAAATCCAAATTTAGCTGAAAAATAAGAAATGTAAGTGATATTTTCCACTTAGCTGTTGGTGATCGAACTAAAAGTACTTAAAACAATGGTTACACTACGTACCTAATAAACCTTGGTGGCACCTTTGACTATCTTGACAATGCTGCTAGTTGTCTCTCTCATTATATCTCACTAGAATGTTTTTATACCGGCAGTCATTCATAGCAAACATTCCTACCAGCTGACGGTCGAGTGTAAATCCACCGTTGTCTTCAAATGCAGTTGAGAGGTTATTTTCAAATGTGTTTAAGAGTGGAGTCCTCAGTGCATTCAGAAGCCATCAGATCAAACCTTACGACCAGATTTGAGGCTCTTCACCGTGATGGTACTCAGAGAAGGGGAAAGCCACTTGTAATGTCTTTTTAACCATTCTTTCTGTGGGCTCACGTGGGCGGCGACTCACTATGTTACCTTGCATTTGTAAGGAATAGAATTCAGTTGTCGGATTTGATTTTTTCTGTGCTTTTTCAAAGGGCATGTTAAACAGAAACAGAATAGAAAGAGTGAGCGCTGATCTTTGGACCTTCAATAACCATCAATAATTCATGGTTTTTAATCCGCAGGAGGAGCGGAGGATTTAACCAGAAAACCCTCAATGGCCAGTTCCTCACAGAACCTTATTTGTTTACTCTCTCGATCAAACTGTACTTCTGATTTGATTTTTCTGATTATGAGGAGTGAATGGCATACAGTATGCAACCTTTTTAGAAGGAAATCTTTTCTTTTGTAGCATTTGTGCCACAGGTCCAGAGAAGACCCACTGTGAATTGTGACATTTTTGAATATCTTTCCTTTGCGATGGAAGCACTTGTGTCTAAATCTTCCCAGCTGAATTAACAAAGTAAAAAAAGCTATCAGAGCAGGGTTAAGCCAGGGACACACGGGCACACTGTGGCACACTGCAGTGTTTCGCTTTCCCTGGTGTCAGTTTTCGATATAACAGTTATCTGTGAGCCCCGACATGTCTGTGCTCTTAAGAAGGCTGTAGTGAAACTTCAGAGTGACATCTCCCTGTCAGGTGTCCTCTCACTTGTTCCAGCCACACCTCTAAGCTAGTGATGTGACATCCTGGAATGTCTCTTGTGAGGTGCTTACTCTCGTCTCACGGCAAACACACTCCCTTCCCCATTCCTTAGAGTCTCTCGTCAAGCCACTGCCTCCTGTTTTTGACATAAGCTACAGCTGACCCACAACTCGAGGCCATATGGCCTCTATTGTGTGTTAATAGATTTGCACAAGGCACATTGTTTATTTAATTCGTTAATTGGTGGAGGGCTAAGACCCACATTTTCACACGGATTTAATTCAGACTGTTTGGTATATTAAGGACCTCTCGGTGGTAGCTGTTGTATGGTTGTCGTGGAGCAGGTCTTGTTGGTGTTTGAAGACGATTTGGCAAATTAGACTCCTTTTGCGCAATATTTTGCTGTCCATTGTGTCTTTATGAGCTCAGGCCTCATGAGTCACCTACTTCTAGGGAGGCCTGTCACAGTGACCTAATAAGAATGAAATATTTTCTTCCTTGTCCTCCTCTGTTGACGGCACGGTTTCTGATTCTCCATACGACACTGCTATGATCTTTTAGTAGAATAAAGACTGCCAACTGTGATGCCTTGCTTGAGGCATTTCCTAGTTTTGACACTTGGGTGTGAAGCTGTCTACTGTGCGTCAAAACAAGAAGAAAAATGACGCATCTTGTGCGTGTGTCTGCGTGTGTACCTGGCCTCTTTTTCTGGACTTTTTTTTCCTGTAGAATATTTTGCTTGAATAACATCAGTAGTACTCTTTTAGGAAGCCTGGGAAGCTGAGTTTACAGAATGACTCCAAAGGGGTTAATGGTACTGGTAGCTTTGTTTGCTCATTGATGGTCACCAAGCCAGAGACATGGCTTTGAAGTTTGTACAAAATAGCAGGGTGATTTGTCAGGTTTCACTTCATCAGTTTTCTACAATAGTTTTCTCACTCCTGCAAAAATTAACTTTGAGACTAAGAAAAAATGACACATTTGTTGACAATCATACTTTCAGTGTTAATAACATTTACAACCGAAGTCTCTCTCATTCACTTGGAAGCCATTTCTGTGTATTTTAATGCTTTGTTTCTGGTCTCTTGCTGACCCTTTACTGCAGGATATTTTGATTTTTTTTTTATGTTCAACTTTTTTTGAACGGCTTTATTGCTTTATTGTCTTTCAGAACTTTACACTTGTAAAAAAAATACTTCATGCATATTTTGCTACTGTAGTTTACTGCTCATGTTTACAGGTGGTGGTCTTGTATGTTACTGTACAGTGTAAAGTTTCTGAAATTATTCTTTGATATTTAATTTTCACATTGTGTAGCAGAGGTCTGTTCCAAGGTGTTAAAATAGCCTGTATCCCTAATAATAAATTAACCATTTTAAAAATACTGAATGGACATTTTTCAGCTTTGCAGTGAAGTACTGAAAAGAAGTTTTAGGGTTTTCATATCTTCTGTCTCTACAAGGCAGGAATGACATTGTTGTTTCTCTTAAAAGTCTAGGTATGTACAGTACATCAATAAAGCCTACTGACCAATCACAGCTAGTCTATCCTTAGCAGTCTATACTTCATTCAGTTCTGTTGACTTATTAATACCCCATCACTCCATCCTGCTCAGTCCCCACTACCCCTATAGACTGCCCTGACCCACCCATTATATCCTCCTACTTTCTCATATACTTACTCATCTCATATAACCGTAACTCCACTTACAGGACTAATAATTGGTCATTATGAAGATGCTTTTATATTTTTTTCCATGGATTTTGTTTTACTGTGTCACAATTAATCAACACAGTACCAAACACTGCTTCAGAACATTCCGCTGGAGCAAAAATAAAGGAGAAACAAGATTCTAGGTAAGAAAAGGTCAAGGGCCCCCAGGTGATGCCATGACGTTGTTAGATCATGTTGTTGCTCAACTAATGAAATTTGTTCTGCTTGTTATGTTGGTGGTGTTATAAGCTGTTCCCAGGCTCTGTAAATGGGGAATTTGGTAATGCTCGCTTTCCCCAGTCGTGTGTGATGCCTATAGAATCAGGAGGACACACTGTTGGGGAGTCTGGAATCATTAGTCCTTGAGGTGTACATTGGAGTAGCCACTCCTAGGTAGCACTGTGAAGCCATCAGTTTGTTTTTTTGTAATGAAAGACATAGTTGAAGAGTTTTTCCCAAGTGGCTCATCCATACGTTTCTTGAAAGACACCTGAGTGTAGGCTTCAGCAACGTGGCAGGGCAGCTTGTTTCAGACTCCCACAACCCTTTGTGTAAAGAGGTACCTGGACTTTTTATTTGGCAAATTAACTGGCTTAGGGTGGCATGGTGGTTAGCATTCCTGCCTCACACCACTGGGTTCAATACCCTCTGTTCAATACCAGACCTGGGGTGCTGTCTGTGTGGAGTTTGTATGTTCACCAACGTTTGTATGGGTTACATCCCACAATCCAAAAGCACATTGGTAGGTTAATTAACCTCTGGGAAAATGTGTCCTGGTGTCAGTGTGTGCCCGCAATATTTTGATGATGTGGGGTCGCATGGTGGAGCAGTGGTTAACATTACTGCCTCACTGAGCTGTGGCCCTGGGTTCAATTCAGGACTTGGGGTGCTATCTGCATCCAAATCTGAGTTTGGATGTTCTTCCCAGGTTGGTGTGGATTGTGATGAACTGGATACATTTGCCTTGTGCCTGTTGCTTGCCAGCATAGGCTTGGGATAAGTTTTATTTTTTCTACACCCAATAAGACTGTTACTTACAGCTTTTTTGGGGGGGGCTTCATTACTGTATAACACTGTTAAGGCTTTGCCTTCCACAACACGGATTGATTTTTATCTTTGCTCCATCTAGTGTACATTTTTCTAACAGGCTTGAAAGAGAGAGTTAGAAATAGGAAATAACCGATTTTTTTGTCACAGGTTAAATACATAAGCAGGGCATTTTGTTAAGACTTTCAGATATGTGAAAAAGATTCTACAAATACATTCAAAGAAAGTTGGAAAAGAAAAAAAAAGACAGTTGGAATATGGAAGAGCTGCGCGTGACCATTCTGGAGGCATTTTCCTTCTTCATTTTTCACCGTCCAATCATTTCTCTTTTGCTCAGTTTTTTCAGACAGCGTTGGACTAAAATATCACTGTAATCCATCCACCCATTTTCTAACCACCTTATCCAATACAGGGTCTTGGGGTCATTCGAACACTCTTCCGTTATAGACAACATAAGCTACTTCTCAGAAATCTGGTAAGTTTGAAAGCAGATCCAAGCTACTCCATGGCAGCAGAAATCAACTGAAGAATGAGGTCATGGTGAGATTACTACTTACTGTGGCTTTCTTTTCTTATTCAGCTTTTGTGTTCTAAGGCAGTTAGCCATAGAGTTATGTAATTTCAAAATAGGTCATGAATGCAATTGTTAAAGTGTGGGCATGGTAGCACAGTGGTTATCATTGCAGTGCCCACAGCACTGGGCCCTGGGTTCAATTCCCTGGCTGTGATCTGCATGGAGTTTGTAGGTTCTCCCGTGTTCATGTGGGTTTCCTCCAGCTGCTCTGGTTTTCTTCCACCACTCAAAGACATACTGTAGATTAACTGGCTCCAGGGGACATTAGCCCTGCTCTAGCTCCCCCATGACCCTGAATGGGATAAAGTAGTTAGAAAATAGAAGGGTGGAATAGTTAAAGCCATTTTCTTTTATATTGACGAATATTTGCATAGAAAAAACAAAAGTACTTTTTTCAGATCATTTGTAAAACACCCGAGATTTGCCCCCTAATCAAAATGTTCAAAATCACCAGTACATCCTCTAAAAAGAGTGTTATCTAGTAGGAGATGCTTAAACGGAAAACAAAAACATTTTTTTGCCTCGTGTTTCCCAGTCCTGGAGAACCCCTGGGACACTATTTTCATTCTGTCTGAGCTCTTAATCAATGATGATTTTTAAAATCTTAATTGAACTAAAATCATTTATATTTAACTGTTTTCTGCACTCTTGCAAATCTCCTTTATGTGAGTCCTGTAAAAAATATATTCAAATGAAATATGTATATATATATATTACATTTGGGTTGGAGCGGTGGTGCTGTGGCTAAGGAGCTGTGCCTGTGGGTGGCAGGTTGCTGGTTCAAATCCTGCAGCTGGCAGAGGAATCCTACTCTGTTGGGCTCCTGAGCAAGGCCCTTAACCCCAACTGCTCCAGGGGCACCAAACAATAGCAGACCCTCCACTCTGACCCCAAGCTCTTTCCCTGTCTGTGTGTCTCATGGAGAGCAAGCTGGGGTATGTGAAAAGATCATTCCTAATGCAAGAAATTGTAAAGGGTTAATAAAGTGATGTTATTATAATACAAAAAATACAGTGAGTAGAAAACTATATCAATATCCCTCTTCCCTAAAGCAAGTCTTATCAGTTATCTAACCACTTAATCCAATGGAGAGGGGGGGCAATGCCTATCCCAGCACACAAGGGGCGCAAGTCAGGGTACACCCTGGATGGGACACCAGTCCATTGCAGGACTAAAACGCAGACACACACTCACACCAGCGCCAGTTTTCCCTGAAGCCAGTTAACCTACCAGTATGTCTTTGGACTGAGGGAGGAAACTAGAGGACCTCATGTGAATTTGAGGAGAACATGCAAACTCCACACAGATAGTACCCCAGGAATTGAACCCGGAGCCTTAGTGTCGTGAAGTAGCAATGCTAACCACTGCACACTGTGCCGCCATTATAAGGCATTTATAGGTTACAAGTGTGCAGATATAGGTGGGAATGACACTGTCGAACATACTGCATGTTCTTAGTGCTGAATGGATCCACAGGTTAAATTAAAAAAATAATCGCGGGTTAGAAGATAACTGCCAACGTCCCTGTGTTTATAAAGGCGCTTTATGTATATACAGATTATTATTATGTTACAGGTTTCATGATAATTTTTATTCTGTTATGCAAATTAAGAATAGAAACGTTTTCAGAAATACAAACTTCAATTTAAGAGCAGCACGCGCTGAACCAGGAAGGTCCAGTTGGACTGAAAAGCAGAAGACGGAGAGGTGCGTCGTTATCAGGGTTGGGAAACACTGCCTTCGGCTATAATTACTAAAAAGAGGTCTTGCACAACAGCAAAAATGGAAAACAAAAACCCAGCAACTTTCATTAACTCGCTCTCGATGTGCAAATCCCCTTGCCAATCGCAAAACATCTACTAGCCACGGCTTAAAAAAAAAACACACTAAACACCCACTTCACCCCCAATCCGCAGCCTCCCCACTGCTCTCTTCTCCCACAATCCTTGCTGTCCCAATGATGTCATTATTTTTTAACCGTGGAAAAGGGCGGAGATCTGAATTATTCCAACGGCTGCGCTTCCTCCCTCCCCGGCAGACAGTGGAGAGAAAACACCTAGAGCAGCCGTCCGTCTGGATCTGTGGGAGGCGTTTGCGTTTTAGTCAGTTTCGTTGCTTGGAAAAAAAAAATCACAATTCATATTCACTTGAGCTCACTGCGGCGGTGAGGGCGACGGAAGCAGAAAACGGGGGAAAGCGATAGAGAGGGATTAAAAGAAGCGCAAAAGCCAATAGAGGTAAGAGTGTCCCCCCATTTCAAATGACGTGTACTGAAAAGACTTGGGGGGGAACCAGTGTTTTTTTCCCCTTTTGGAAGAAGTGCTGTTACTTTGCTCGAGGAAAAAAGTAGGTAGGTGGTGGCTGTGTTGGAGATGTTGTACTGCACTTCCCCATGCAACAACTTGGGACATAGCGAGCAAAATATTTATTTTTTTTTGTAAGGGGGCTCGCTTTGAGGGTTCACTTAAATGACCCTTTAGGGGAGGGCTGACTTACGTGCCCTAGAAACACTTGTTTTCTGTGGTTTTTAAAAAGTGATTAAATCGATAGTCTTTACTCGGAGGTGTGTTAAATCCCAGGGGACTGTAGTCCTTCAGCCCAAGACTCACCGCTGGGTTAACGACCAGAGCCCGTCTGCACAGAGTGGGGTAAGACGAGCGCCAGCCGGGGTAAACTGGACCTTCGTCTCAATTCGAAAAGTAGTGAAACGTTTATTCAGTGGCTGAAGTGAGCCTGTTTTCGCGTCGGTTTCTTGATGGTTAACTCTGTTGCTGTGCCGTGTTATTTGTAACACATTTAATAATTAGCCGGCTGGTGAACTAGTCATTACGGTTTGGGTCCCACTGTTTCCTTTTGATCGCGCTGCTGTGCAGTTGGATGTATTAGGAGTGTGATTTGGGAGGGGTGAGTGTTCCCGACTTAATGTTACAATGTTACTGAGTTTACGCCACTGTTGGTGTGTGTGTGTGTAGGGGGTGTAATTTATAGCCTACTAAAAAGCTATTTCCGTCTTGCAATTAATATACCTCGCTGACTTTTATTTTGCAGTTGTAGGGGCGCATAGAAGGCAAGCAAAAAAAAAAACAACTACTAAAAGACCTTCTGTGTTGTGTATAACGTGCCAAAAGTTATTTTTTTACAGTAACGCAGGTTTTACAAAAATAACATGTTTTACTGGGACGTTAATTAGTGCGTGCGTC